ATCAGGGACAATCTCTCTGCCTTCCCTCCCATTTTCCCCCTGATCCTAGGTAGCTTTTTTCCAAGGTTGACTTGCCCGTGAAGTGTCTCTGATGCTGCCTGTTAGATGTGACTTGTTTGAAAGGATGTGAGCCCCCAACAAACCTGCCAGGCTGGGCTGACAGCCCTCACACAGTGCTGTGTTGCTTGCTTTTGCAGCAGAAAGAGCTTGCAGGTCTCTCAGTGACCACCCCGCTGCCAAATCTGCCATCTGTCTCACATCCTCTGGGCGATGCTGTGCCTCCCAGCCCACAGCTTCTCTCCTCCCAGTGCCTTGTCCCTTTCCCAACCTGGCTGCTGTACATGTCTAGATGTGACACTTCCTTCTCTGCCTGAAGGGAAAGAAACCATTTCTTGTGTTTTTCTCCATCACATCTGTCACTCCCGACACTCCTTGCGCTGTCTGTGGGCAGCTGCTGGCCAGTGGGCATAGCCGGAGCAGGGCAGGAAGGCAGGGTGGTGGGTGCGGGCAGGGCCAGCCTGCAGCACTGGCACAACAGTCTGCTTCCTGACCATCTGTGTCCCACTCATCCCGTGTTCTGGGCCACCTGCCTGTGATATGTGTGTAGGGGGGGGATGCTCCAGGGCCGTTTGACTCCCGAGGTCCTCTCCATGGAGGAGATGAGAGCAAGCTGGTGGGTGTGATGGGCTGTTCTGTTTGGCTCTTCTGTGCCCTGTGGCAGGTATGTGACTGGAGCTGTGTTTGGGTGTTGTGGGCAGGGGAAATTCCCCAGAGATGATGGAGATGATGGGACAAGTTGTCTTGTCAGCTTATGTGAGCACCCGTTGCACCGGGAGGAGGCTGAAATGGTCAGTGCTTTGCAGAGCCTCATGTCTGCAGCTCCACATGTGCCTGGGAGAGCCACCTTCCTTTGACTGCAAGCAGCAACAACTTTCATCTCCCCCAAAGGCTGTGTGGGATGCAAAAGCAGCTGGATGTGTGTCCTAGTGACCAGAGGAGAGTGACTGCCTGCTCCCTCCGCTGCCCTAGTGAAAAGCAGCACTGGGATTGCCCTGCATGGGGGCAGGATCTGGTGGGAGGGCAGGCAGCTGGCCTGTGGTTCAGGCAAAGGTACAGCAATCTGGTGTTGAGACTATGAGATGGGTTCAATCTCTTCTCTCCTCCTTTGAAAGGACCAAATTTGCTTACACTCTGGGAGATAGGTGGTGATTTGATGGTTCCCCGGTGGATGAATCCCCAGGGGAAGAAGGTGGCCAAGGCAGGCCTTGGATAGCACCTTCTCCCCTTGTCCTCCTGTTGCAGGCACCTGTGTACACCATCAAAGTCTTTCCCTTCCCTTTGATGCACTATTGACTCAAACCAATGTGCTGAGAGCTAATCCCTCCAGCACGGCTGGATGCAGCTTACACAGCATCTGCCGGGGCCATCCCCGCTTGTGCAACTCACTGGTGCCAGAGCCGTCACTGAGTACCAGCTCCCGTGCTCCTAGGGCGACGTGATTCATCCCAGTCATATGGTGTTACCCAAATCTGCTTGGAAGCTGGGCAGAGGTGGGAGGAAAGCCTTGTCAAGGCCAGGGTTGGCGTGTGGTGTGCTCATGGTCTCCTATTGCAGCCCAAAGCTCACCCTTCTCCTGGCACCAAGCACAGGCGATAGAAATGTTCTATCTCTGTAGATGCTCTAAAATCATATTTCTTGTGTGTTTACATGTATATATATAGCGTTGTAATGCACTGCTCTCAGGAAGAAGCTTTTGTGCTTGCAGAGAGGGGAGCTGGGCAGGGCAGGAGTGGTTTTTTGCTCCTGAAGCTGAATTAGCTGTGGGGGATGTTGTTGCTGCTTGAAGCTGGGGAGGAGTGAAGGGTGGAGAGGCTGGTGGGAGCTGGGCACCAAGGCATCCCCCAGAGCAGTGTGGAGAAAGCTACATGGCTGGCCCCAGGGGAAGGGGATCAACAGGGCAACATAACACTGCTCACTGGCTCCTAGGAAGCTGTGGGATGAGGCTGCTCAGTGGGAGAATACTCCCAGGTCCCAGTATTGTCAGGGAGCAGCAGGCTGGAGTGGAGCAGAGCTGGGCCCAGCAGCATGAGTGCCAGACCCTTGGTAGACCACCATGTGCCCATGTTCACCCCACATGGCACAGCAGGCTTGTGGCCATGAGCTGTGAGGAGGGCTGGCTGGAGCTCAGCAGGTGAGAGTGGCTGTGCAAGGGCTTGAAATGCGCCTGCTTTCTCCACCAGCTCATCGGTGAGGTCACTGCCAACCCCAAGTGTGCCATGCCATCCTGGCCAGGCAGAACAATAGGGTGGAAAACCACCAGAGTTGCCTGGCCTAAGCAGTGTGATATTGGGCTTCTCGGTCTGCATTCCTTTCATGCACAATCCAAGTCCCCTCTTTGCCATTCTCCTTCCCTCTGCCCTCGGGTGAAGTTCCCGCCTCTCACCAGTGACGGCTGTAGCTGTGCTGGCTGCTCCCGCAGCTGGCAGTCTCTGCAGCGGGTGGCTTTATAAAAGGTAGGATATGAACCTCCCACTCTCCTTTCTACCTTCCACAGCTCCCTGCTCCCCAAACAGCGGAAGGGACTTGGGCAGGAAAGAGCTACTTTTTCCCTATCTCATCCTGTCTTTCCCCCATCTCCAGGGACCACAGTGCTCCTAGCATCTTGTGGCACTGTGAAAGATGCCTGTGACTCACAGTGACAGCTTCAGGCCCTGACCAAGGCACAGCTGCTCCTGGTTTGTATATAGGTTTCCACAAGGGAGTGTTTTTCCCAGTGGAGGTGGCACTTTGCTTCACATAGGCCTTAAAATTCTCCTCTGTGTGAGAACAGTCACCTGGGTGGCAGAAGCAGCAATCCTACCACCGTTGCAGCCGTGCTGAGAGGTGCCTTCCTTAGTCTTCACTGCCAAATGTGAGCTGCCTCTGCAAGAGTGGCTGTATGTGGGCACATACTGTGGTCTTGGAGCTGGCAAGCAATAAGCAGCCCAGAGGTACCCTTTGCAAGGAAGCTCAAACCCTTGCCCAGGGTCAGCTGCTGCCATGGCCCTCAGTCACAAACGCAGCAGGGGCTGAGAGTTGTCCTCATCTGCATGTATCATCGTTAATTAATTGCAAGCACAGGGATTGCTCTAAGGACTGTGAACAGCATGCAGCATCCCAGCTGGGAGAAGGAATCTGGTGGTACCAGGGTTAGCATTTTCCTGAAATACTGTTTTTCTGAATAGAAGTGTGTGTGCATGTGTATATGTTAACCAGGAACTCCAGGATGATACCCTGCCCCTTTCCCACTTGTGACCTACCTGGGTCTCCATCTGCCACTGTCAGCCCTGGCTTTTTCACAGTATCATACAAAAGTTTGGGGTGGAAGGGACCCTTAAATGTTATGTCGTCCAACCCCCCTGCAGTGAGCAGGGACATCTTCAGATAGATCAGGTTGCTCACAGCCCTGTCCAACCTGACCTTGAATGTTTCCAGGGATGGGATATCTACCACCTTTGTGTGCAGCTTGTGCCTGTGTTTCACCATCCTCATCATAGAAAGTTTCTTTCTTATATCTAGTCTGAATCTACCCTCTTTTAGTTTAAAACCATGTCACTACAGGCCCTATTTAAAGGTCTGTCCCCATCTTTATTATAAGGCCCCTTTTTCTGTCTCTCTGCTCCCAGCCATAGCTTATGAGCAGCCCAGCAGCTCCCTGCCCTCTGCTTGGGCTGGGCTTGGCCCAGGTAATCCTTTGTGCTGAAGAGTGTTGATTTAAGAGTTATCAGAGGACAAGGGTGCATGATGCAGAACGGGTGACGGGCGCCTGCCCTGTGAGCTTGCAGCCCCATTAGCTCATGTTTGCTTGGTGTGTTGCACACACAAAGTGTGGTGTGAGGGGCTCAGCACACTGTGTGTGCACAGCAGGAGAGGGAAATGCAAACCAAACATGGGTTAGAGCCAGCCTGCAGTGGCAGCTTAGTCAATTGTGGCAAAAATGGCTGGGGGTGGAACGAATAAATTCCGCTCCGATTCTTCCTTCCCAATCTCAGTGTGCTGGCTCCAGCAGCTGCTGGCTAGCACATGTGTGGAGGAGGCGCTGGAGAAGAGCTGCTCTGTGCACAGCGTCTCCCACGCACTGGTCTAAACAAATCTCTCTGGCTATAGATCTCACTGTAAGCACTGTTTGCTCTCGGTTGCCTGGGATTTGGCTTTATTCTTGTGCCAAGGAGCGCTGCAGCGAATCAGCCTGGCCCACAGCGTCCCTCCAGGAGAAGGGGCTTATGCAGGTGGCTGTTTGGTACCACAGAGGAAGGCCAGAATTTTGTCCTGCAGAGAGTCCCAAGGGAGGCTGGGAACTGGGATGCCTTCTCGTTCAAAAACTTCGTGGAGCTTAGTCTGTCCAAGTGCCAAAACTCCACTCTACATGGTGGTGCCGGGCAAGAAGGGGAGGACAGAGAGCTGGGGGTGACATGGCAGCCGCTACAGGGGGACATGGCAGGGGAGGGTTTGGCTCTCAAATGCTGTATTGGTTTCAGGTGAGTCCCTGGGGCAGCATGACCCTGCACAGGGTTTCCTGCAGGTAGTGGCAACCTATGGCTCCTGAGCATGGAAAAACTTGCTTGACTCCCCAAAATGGGGTCAGGTCTCAGCCTCCTGGTGGGTTACATTATTTAGGTGGACAGTGTTGGCAGGACAGGTTGGAAATGGTGAAGCACTGGGGATAGGAGTGGCAGTGCCAAAGGCAGGCTCACCACTGAGGGGAAGAACCTTGCTGTGGGCTTTGCATCCCCAGGGCCTGGGTGGGCTCATGGCTGGCTGTTCCCCCTGCATCCCTGCCCTGGCTGGCAGGAACCTGGCAGGCATTTGTGCTTCTCAATGGGAGAGCAGTGCCAGAGCTTTCTGGTGGAGAAGGTGAAGTTTATTTTCACTGTTTTTAAGCAGGTTTACGCACTCAGCCATGGACTCACTCACTGAGTGGTGGGTATGGGTGGGGAGGGAGTAGGATCAATGAGAACATGAGTCCTCCTGGCCTCTCTGAGTATCATATCTTCACTGGCAATGACAAAACTAGTCTTTGAGCAGGTGTTTTATACCTGTTAGGAGTCATTTGTTGCTGCAGAGTGGTCCTTTGACCCCAAACCCTACTAACCGCAACCTCTGTTGCCCTCTAGCCATGTTGCTACTCTTGGTATGGTTCTCCTTGTTTGGAAGATGAATCTGGTTTCCGACAGGCTAACAGAACAGGCTGGTATGTCCCATGTCCTACTGGTGATGGGATGGGGTCTTCTGCTGGTGGGTTGTCTATGCCATGGCCTGGCAGGGTGTGGGCACAGCATTCACACCATTGTCAGTGTCATAGAATCATAGAATATCCTGAGCTGGAAGGGATCCACAAGGATTGTCGAGGCAAACTTGTGGCCCTGCACAGGACACCCGAATGGTCGGTGCCATCAATCTCTCTGCATCCAGCACCTTGGCTCCCCAGCGGAATCTGGCTCCGGTCTCTGTGGTCACAGCCCCAGGGGAGGTAAGGCACTGCCACAGTGGGGTTGGTCTCCTGTGCAGATTCCTTTCCTGAGGATACTGAAGCTGGTGCAAAGAGCTGTGCTCAGGAATGCCGCTGCCCCACACGTGCTTACCTCACAGGCCATGAGCAGCCAGATCCTCACTTTGCCTTTTGGACCTGGAGGCCATGAATCTAAGAGGAAAGGGTGAAGGGAGGGTCAGGGAGCCTTGGACCTCTGTGGGGTTTTGGAGGGCTCTGTCTGTGGTCCCATCCCCTCTGTGCTCATCCCTCTTGGGGACACATGTGGCCTGTTCTGCCATGCACCCAGCTACAGAAATAAGAGGTCACCATGCCCCGTGTTTGCCTCTGCTGGGGTGTGTGCTGAGCTTAGCGCAGGGTGTTGATGAGCCTTTTCCCATACTGAGGTACTTGGTTATCCATGCTGAGTCAGTGGCAGTGGCTCAGGTTTCCTGCCCTCTTGCTGCAGTCCTGCAATGTCGATCACTGCAGTCCTGCAGGATGGGACACTGGAGGTTTGCCTCCCTGCCTGGTTCTGTGCAGACCAAGGCATGAACCTGATCTCCCTCTTACAGTGGTCCTTGTTTTCCCCTTCTGCAGCCTGGCCAAAATCGACATGTGGTGGAAGAAGGATGCAGAGGCAGTTGGGTAGCACAGATGCTTGTTTTCTAGGAGGCATGGTCTAGGTCCTCAGCCTGGCTTTTCTGCAGGTTTTGTGTGGCCACTGTTTGCTCCATCAGCAGCCCTGTGCTCTGGCTGCCCAACCACTAGCCAAAATCAGTAACCCCGTCCCTACCAGAGTGGGATGCTGAGACTTGGGTGTGTGTAGGCATGCTGGAAAGCTCAGCTTAGTCATCTCAATGCTCCCAAGATTTTGTTTTGATGTTTTGATGCTCCAGCTGTCCGTGAATCCCCTAGCAAATGAGTTTGCTGGCAGGATGCTTCAAGGGAAAGACAAATTTTGAAAAACTGTATTTGCAATTAAGACATGCCTTATTTTTAATTGGAAATCTGATTCTCTGGATTACTGCCCACCCAACCAGAGAGAATAAACATATGCTGGTATATCAACAAAACAAAGAGGGCACTGAATATTCAAGGCAAACCTTACACACTGAAAATGTGTCATAGAAATTATCCAGCAGATCACTTTTGATGACAAATCTCATACGCTCACTGTCCATTCACAGCCATCAAGAAAAGAAGAAAGGAGTGCCTTTCCCTATTGCTCTATATGTTTGCTGACCCTATTTTAGCATCTTTCATCTAAGTAAGACGTATAATGGATATACCATATATTGCAATTTTTGGTTTTATGTTATTGCTTAATTTTACCCCGTCCACTCCTGTGTTTCCTGACTAGTCCATTGCTGTTGCTTCTCCAGAACAGGGCTGATGAGGATCTGTTCTGTGGTTGGCATCAAGAGGCACTGCCTCATGCACAGCTAACGGGAAGCTGTCCCAAGGCCTTCTGGAGGTGAAGGTACCCACCTAGCTCTGTTATTCTCAACAGTATTTTCTCCTTTGGCCCTTAAAGAACAGGAAAAGCACAATGGCAGTGGCATAGCTGGGAACAGGAGCAGTTTTGGCAATGCTGTGGGTTCGGTTGAGCCTTTCAGATACTATCACAGAGTGTTGTCACCCGCATACTGCAAAATGTGTGGTGTGAAAATTTAGCTTAGGGGTTTCACCAGTGACTTTAAGTGTGACCTGCAGTGCTCCTGTGATCTCTGACTCTGTAGACCAAAAAAGGTACCTGTCCAACCAGAGAGAAGCTGAACGTGTCCTACAGGTCTGAGTTCAAACTGTTCTTGGTGCACGTGAGAAGAAATCTGCTCTCACTGTTTCTGCTGCATGTGCTGTTCCTAGAGCAGCTACATGATTTAGCTGGTTGCTCCCAATAATTATTTTAATGGTAATGCTGCAGCTGTATAATTTGTATAAACTTTTCTAAGAGCAGCACCATAAAAGGTGAGTTTAGCTGGAACAGGTGGTCTGGAAAAGTACTGTTTCGAGTATTTGGAGGTAAGTTTCTGTGGTTATCTGGAGTTGAAGGGACCAGGGAAAAGGTAGCAGGGAAAAGGCTGATGACCTCAACATCAGCTGCAGAGGAGCTGAGATATACTGTGTTACAGGCCTGAGCATGACATGATGGCTCCTTTGGGCTCCTTTGGAGTTGGAGGTGGCTAAGAGAGAGGGGAAAAAGCTGGACTGGGTCTTTTGGTACCTTCTGCTGCTGAAATTTCTCTCTGCAGTCTGGTATTGAAACAGCAGTGCTAGGTGGAAAGACATGAACTGGTTGGGCTGGGAGGGTGAAGGCTTGCTTTGGGAAATTTTGGGGGCAGGAGAGCTTGGAACAGGAGATACTAGTACTGTCTCTAGGAGAAACCTATTGCTTTTGGCCACCAGGAGCAAAATATCTGCTACTGAGGGAAGGGGATAGCAACAATGACTTGGTAGGGAAAGACAACTTGTACAGATCTCTGTGAAAATCCCCCTCACCCTGCCATCCTCCAACAGGATGTTCCTCCTACGAGCGTGAAGATGGTGCCTAGAAACGAGCTGCAGGATCTTACCGCTGGGTAGGGGAGTGGTGGTGGCAGAGAAGGGACTTGGAAGTTGCTAGGAGTCTCCTTGTTTATTTGCTAAAGGTCTAACGGCTCTGTCGGTCAAAGACACACTCTCTTTGTTAACCAAAAGGCAGTGAATTATTTAGCAGCTGAAAACGCCAGATGGCAATGGCTCTGCTGCTTACAGGAGGAGGGGAGAGAGGGAGGGAGATATGCACATTGCGGGCAACAGATTGAGAGCATTTCCATAGCAAAGAGCAGACCCTGGCCAGAAGTCCTGGTGGCCCAGGTGGTTGCCTGATGGCAAGCAGGAGGCAGGCAAGGCAGCTGCCACTTGCCAGAGTAGCCCACTCATTTCCCAAAGGTCTCCTCTTAATGGGGGTCCCTTGTCAGGGTTTGTTATCCTGATGGGGCCATGCTGGCCCTTGAAGTACAGGACTCCCAACCTTGGCTGGGAGGCAGGCCATGACTGAGGACACCACAGGGAGGCTTTTCCAGCCCATCCATCACTTCACACTTGGGTGTAGTGATGGTACTTCAGCCCCAAGTCTACTGGGATGCCATTTGGAGAAGTATCAGCATATCTCAGGTGACCTGACAGTTTTTTTGAGAGTCACACTAATGTTCAGCTTTCTGAGCTTGGGCTATGATGTCTCCAGACACCATGGACTGGTCAGATCAATGTGTATATGGCCAGGGACCTCTGAGGAGAACTGAAGATGCTGTAGGCAGCATGGGCAGATCTGTAGCAGACACTGAAGCCCAAGACTCAAGTGACACTGCACTTGTGTGCACAGTAGGAGGGACTGCAGATAGCCAGATGCCAACCTAACTCTGGAGTGGGGTGAGCCTCATAGCCTTGGTCCAATCATGCCAGCCCTCTTAGGCTTCCAGTGGAAATTTTTCTTTGGGATGAAATTTATGCTTCAGAAATTAAGAAAATAGCAAATCATCATCTTTTTTTGTGTTTAATTTGGAAACTTCAGGCACCAAGAGTAGTTCTTAAATGCTTCAACCCTCTTGAGAGCTGGGGTTGAGAATCCTTAGGGAATCCCCAATGTCCGGGCTGTCAGAACCTTTTTTTTTTTTTTTGTCATCTCTTGTATTTGAACACCTCCTTCCTCCTTAGCCTTTTCTTTCCCTGGATGTGGAGGTCAAAGAGTCAGTCTCTCAGGCATATAACCTGTGTCAGCTCCTGCCTCTGCACTCTCGGCCTGCCTGCTCTGCTCAGCTGTGGGATATGGGTGTCTGGGCTTCTTGGGAGCTTTAGGACAGGACTAATCTCCTCGAGCAGCAAACTGCATGATCTAAGAGAGAGAGGCTGAGGTTACAGCAGTGTATATAAAATCACGTGCTACTGTAGTCTCCCATCTGTCACATTGACATAGCAGAAGTAAATGTTTCCCAACAAAAGCAAATCTGTGTGGAGCTCAGGAAGATCCCTTTTCTAAGCCAAGACATTTTGTGTGTGTGCTCCCCAAGGACCTCTCAATCCGGTTTTGTTTGGTGTTGAAGAAGAGTTGATCCTGTTTGGTCTTGGTGGAAAAATCTGGCATAAACACTTTGCATCTTCGGATCCCCAGAGGTGCCAGCTGTCTTTGTTTGTATCCTCCTCCATTGTTTAATCCTGTCCTTGTGGGCTTTGAGCATCTTCCAGCAGGGATCACCTATGTCTATGTGACTGCGGGGGCCTGCAGCAGGGTCACAGTTGTGGCTGGAATACAGATAAAAAGCAAGAAGAGGAATGAATGCCCAGTGGCTTGAATGTAAAGCTCACAGAAGTATGTGTTAATAAACCATTCTGAGTTTTCATGTGGCCTTTGCACTGGTCACAATATATTGGCCATAATATACTGTGCCCAGCATGTCTGCAAGGCAAGGCACTTATATAGCTCCTTATAAACTTCAGGCAGGCCAGAAGATGTTCTTGTCAGGAGTACACATTCCTGAGAGTAGGGATGTAGAATAATTGTGGTTGGAAGGACTCCCTTGGAGGTCATCTGATAAAAGCCCTTGCTCAGGACCAGGACAACTTCAAAATTTTGTTTGGCAGCTCAAGGCCTCCAAAGACTGTGGTGGGTCTCACCATAGACATAGCTGGTCTCCTCTGAAGGCCACACAGCTATCCAGGCACCCGAAGCAGCTGACTAAAGGTGCCCGGGGGGGGCTCTAAGGCACAGAGGCACAGCAGGTGTATGAGGAAAAGAGACTCTGGCCCCCTTGTCCTCACCCCATGTTTGTTAGTGTTTGCTGTGCTGTTTCCCTCTTCTCTCATGCTTCTGGTGAGTGCAGCAGCCGTTCAGCAGTGTCCTGGCATGCAGGTCTGTGGCATCCCCACGAGTAACAGCCATGTTGGTTGCTGTAGGGTGCTTGTTCCCAGGATTCCTAGGCACTGCAGGTTTGGAGAGGATCCTTGCCTACCTAAAGCATGGTAGTAGGAAAGGTTTTGGAAACGAGCCACAGTCTTGGACATTAATGGCCTTTAAGTGTCTTCTGTCCGTGAGGACTGTAGCCTGTGGTATCAGCTACTGGGGAAGGTGGGGGAAAGCTTGGCATTTAGGGTTTTGAGAAGCTAATTCTTCTGAAGAAATCAAGATACCTTGGAAGGAGCAATTCTGCCCAGGTGGAAAGGTGAAAGGGAGGTTGTGATGCTAGACAAGGGCAGAGGGCTTAGGGATATTCCATAGGCAGTAGATATCTGGCTGTGGGGAGAGAAGCAAGTACAGCCCAGCAGCTGAGTTGTTAACATCATCATTGCTCTTTTTCTCAGAAATTCAAGCAAATGCTTCAGCTCCTCATTCCTGCCTACTGACTGCACCAGTGTGGTCATGACTCAACCCAGCTTCCAGGACTGAGGGGCAAAGGTGGTGAGAGACCTATCTCAGGTATGATGAAGACAACCAAATAGCATGGGGTTTCATGGGGTGGGGAAAGGGCAGGAAGTAGCTGTGAGATTTCTTCAGCAACACCCCCTGCCCTATCTCCCACAGCCTCTCCCTGGGAGAGACTGGGACTGGGGAAGCTCCAAGGTCACCAGCCAGTCCTCTCCCTGCCCTTCCCTTAGTGAACTCCTCTGACTTTGATTGAGGAGACCTGGAAGAGCCATGGCCCCTTTTCAAGCAAAGGCTTCTCCATCCTCACCCCTGCCTCTGTGTTGCAGGGTGAGACCCCGCAACAGTGCCAATGGAGAGCGTGTACTCGGTGGAGCCGGCACCTGATGGTTCCAGCCCCACCTCGCTGGATGTGCTCATCTTCTTGGATGCCCCAGTGAACAGCACAGAGGAGCAATGCTTCAGCGCCCGCTCCCGCAGCACCGTGCTGGAAGGGCTGCCCTTCGGGGGAGTGCCCACCGTGCTCGCCATCAACTTCATCCTCTGGCTGGTAAGTGGGCCAGGAGGGTGCCATTTCTACCAGCACTGCAGCCCCTGGGTGCTCTGACAACCACACACAAGTGCAGCCCATGCACCGGTGCACCCGGATGACTGAGGGGATGGGAGTGAGTGCAGGGGACCAAGGGCTTTGCCCACATCATTGGTGGACTGCAGGAGGCACTTGGGCAGCAGTGCTGAGATCACAGAGCAGGAACGGTTCTGCTTGAGGCAAGAGTTTCAACGAGCTTGGGCCCACAGTGAGAAAGCAGAAAGGAGGGATGTGAGAAGATCCCATGGGGTGAGATCCTGGAGCAAAAGCCTTCACTTCTCCTCTTTCTTATTCTTTCAGCTTCTCCTTCTGGTCTTCTCCTGTCTTCGGAAAGCGGCTTGGGACTACGGGCGCCTGGCACTGCTGATGGACAACGATAGGTGAGGAGAAAGCAAAGCCAGTGTGGGTGATAGCTCTGTTCTCTTAAAGAGGACTGGAAGAGAGGCCAGCACTGCAGGGTGGCACACAGAGAAGTTCAGCTGGTGTTCCTGTCCCTCCTCCCCACTGGAAGTGGCCTGCCTGCCCTTGCCCATGGAGACACAGGCACCATCTGCTGCGGGGAAAGGGAAAGCCTGGACAAGTTTTCATTTGCTCTTGCCGGTAGCATTTGGTGACAGTTCTCTGCGTGCCGTTGAGGGCACTGTCCTGGGAAGGACAGAAGCCCAACAGCTGCTACTGAGTGGGGACTGAGCTTCTGCCTCTTCTCCTGCCACTTTCTTGGGGAGAGCAAGACTGGCTGGTGGAGGGGGCAGAGGGAGACACACAGCAGTAAAACACTGTTCCTCATGTACCTAAGAAACTTGCCTGGCCTGTCGTTTGGGCCAGGTGCAGAATCCCACAAAAATTACCAGTGTTCTAGTAAAAGTAGAGCCCAGACCGGATTTCCAGGTGGGCTGTGCTTCCCACAACTGCCTACCTGCCAGAGCATGGCTCACCCTGGGCAGCAAAGCATCTTTGTTTGCACAGGCAGGTGCACACAGGTGGGGTCTCTGTAAGGCTGGGCAGCCCATAAGAGCAAACACTGGCCCTCTCCTGCCTTCTCACTTCTCCAGCTCCTCTCGGCCTCGGACTCTGGAGCTGAGTCTGGCAATGGACATGTGATGTTTCCCTTCACCGGAGAGATCAAAGGGCAATCAAGACTTAAAATGCAAGCTCTGATTGCATTTCTTTTTACTGTAAAACCGTGTGAGATGTCAGAAAACAGTGGAGTAGAAAATATCTGTTTTAGCAGGCCCTTATGCTGGAGCTAAGGCTAATTCTCTGTGAGCCACCCCATCACGGGTCAGAGCCACAGAGAAGCTGTGGAGACTTGTCAGCACAGAGGCAGCAAGATGCAACAGCTCTGTCCAAAGCCCATCTGTAGTCACTGGTCCAGCCCCAGGGCAGGATGCAGGAAGGGGGAAGGCATTTCCTGCGCTGCTCTCCTAGGAGAGAACTTCTCCAAAGGTGCTTATTCTCTCCTGTCTGTTGCTTTTCTTCTGCCTCATCCCTCCTCTTCTCCCCTTCCTGTGAAGTCTGACCTCGCTTTTCTATGGAGAGCAGAGCGAGAAGGAGAAGTCCCCGTCAGAAAGCAGTCCCTTGGATGCCGACAACAAGGATGTGGTGAGTGCCAGTGGCTGTGGCTGTGGGAGCTTGGAGTGGGCTCATCCTGACCCAGGCTGTCCTGTTCTTTATCAGAAACCCAGGTCAGAAGTTATATGGGAGCAATTAAACCTTCCAGTGCAGGATTTCCTGCTCAACACCCTTTAGCAGTGGGGAATTCCTGGAACCTGGAGGGTTTCTTTGTCCTGGATTCTTTTGAGGCCTCTATCTTGAATGGCAGTTCTGATGGGATGTGCCCATCAGGGCAAGCATCTCCCAGCTGCATGGCTGTCATTGCAGCTGTGGAGACCTAATTGGATGCATGGCCAAAGCCTTGCTACATGCCTGCAGGGATCTTTCTCACCCATCAGGACAGTCCCCTGCACCACATTTCCTCCTCTACCAAGCACAGTTGAATGCTGGGGCTTTAAAGTAATCTTTTGTTTCCTTCTGTCACACCAGGCGAACACCAGGTTTTGCTGGAAACAAACATAGATGGGCACATTTTGCTGCCTCTTTCTATTTCTTTTTTGACAGCAAAAGCTCACAAGTCAGTCACTGGTGTGACTATGGAAAAAATGACTTGACTTATTAAAAAAAAATAGGCAGGAAAGGAGCAAAACAAGCAAGACCCTTGCAGGTGGCAGGAGGCCTGTTTAAAGCCTCTGTAACAGATGCTCTAGGCAAATGTATATTGCTCATCAAAAAATAAGTGAGAAAGACCGCAGGGAAAGCCATCACACTAAAGAGCAGATTAAGGGAGATTATTAGAAGTAAGAAGACATCCTTTAAAAAGTTGAACTGTTCACAAATGAGGCAAATCTCAACTGTGCAAGGTTAGATGTAAAGTACACTAAGAGGGGAGAAGAACAGTTTTGTGGAGAAGTTTGTAGAGAGCATAAAAGCAAGTACAGAATTGCAAAATCACAGAATGAGTAAGGTTGGAAGGGACCAAAGTGGGCCATCTGGTCCAACCTCCCTGCTCAAGCAGGGTCATCCTAGAGCACACGGCACAGGATTGTATCCAGATGGTTCTTGAATAACTCCAGTGAGGGAGACTCCACAACCTCTCTGGGCGATCTGTTCCAGTGCAAGCTCACCCACACAGGTAGGGCTCAATCTCATCTCCCAGGTAACAAGAGACAGAACTAAATGACTTTGAGTTGTACTGGGGTATGCTAAGATTGGATATTAGTAAAACATTTTTCACTGAAAGGGTTGATACTGGAGCAGGCTGCCCAGGGAAGTGGTGAAATCATCATCCCTACAGGTATTTAAAAGTTGTGTAGATGTGGCACTTAGGGACATGGTTTAGTGGTGAACTTGGCAGTGCTTGGTTAATAATTCAATGATTTTACGGGTCTTTTCCAACCTCACAATTCTATGATTCTATAAATCCTCTGGAAAGTGGTGAAGAGGCCAGATGGCTGGGTGCTATTTGGTACGGCCATGACCAGGAGGACTGCAGAGGCACCTTGAACTTGCATGAACTCTGGTGTTTGTACAACATAAAATAATGTGTAGGGGAGAAAACTCCCTAATATTGCATACACGGTGACAGGGAATAAGCTATTACCCAAGAACTTAAGTTGTCCTGTATCACTTTACAGCAGTGCCAGCTCAGCACTTGGTAGTGGTCAAAAAAGTACATTGCGTGTTAGGGACTGTCAGGAAAGGGGCAGAGGAGGGAGCTGCTGGGAGCCAGGAGCCTGTTATAGAGATGCTCCTTAATATTCAGAGGAAGCTGAGGTCCAGGAAGTCACCCCTGATATGATGGATTAATGCTTGACTTCAGCTTTCTCTACAAATCCTTCTGCAGCCAAAAATATGCACCTGACAGCCATGACCTGTTGGTTGATGTTTGCAGGGAGACCTCCTTGTCCATGTACACTCCTGCCCCAGCAGACCCTCAGCTCCCACTCACAGGAATTCTCTTATCACCACTTTCAGGAAGGTTGTGTGGTCTCTCAGGGCTGTCATCACCTGGAAGAGAGGTTGTGCTCAGCTTCCCATCAGCTCTTAGGGCTGTGTTTTTCCTGCTCCTTCCAAGGCAGCTGCCTTCACCACTCAGCTGAGCATCATTAGATGCCATGGGCACTGCCTCCATTTGCTTATCCCCCTGGCCACAGGCACTGCACCAGCTCTGTATGTCTTCAGCATATGTTGTGCCCCAGCTCCTTGCTGGGAAGGGGGGGTTGGTTGCCTTCATCTCATCCTGACTCTTTTCCCTTCTAGGGATTCTGCTCCTGGCTCATTTCTATCTACCAAATGAAGTAAGTGTGTGTCCTTGGCATTATGGCCATGCCCCACTGCTGCCCACCCCTGGGAAGTTGGTGTCACAGGTGGTGGCCCATCACCCAGAGCTGCTGGGACCAGCGGCACAGGAGAGCCCTCTTAAAACATCCACCCTGAAGAGAGAGCAGAGGACTCACCTTTGTATCTCCCCTGGCCCTTAGACCCTATCCCAAAGAAAAGGGCTTCAACCTCTTGTGGTAGGAACCAGTCCTGTAATGGGATGGTAGCTGAAAGGCTGCTTCTGTCCCTCATCCCTTCTGTGCCCAAATTCTTTGTGCCCTAAGCAGGATGCCATGAGTTGGTGTGGGCTGTGGGAGGCTGGAGCAGCCAGTGTGGGAGGTGATGGGGAAGAACCACCAGCACTCACCCCCACCTGCCTCTCCCCAGGGACGAGGAGATTCAGAGCAAGTGTGGGATCGATGCCACCACCTACCTCTCCTTCCAGCGGCACCTCCTGGTCCTGCTGATGCTGGTCTGTGTGCTCTCCGTGGCTGTCATCCTGCCCGTCAACTTCTCAGGGGATCTCCTGGGTAGGTTCTTCCCTAGTTATGGGATGACTCAGGAGTGTTGTGCAAGCTTCCCAGCCTTGGGGCAAGTGCTGTGCCTCTGGGACAAAAGGCAGAAGAACCCCTCTGAAAGAAGCCCCCAAGGGAGCAGGAACTCACCATCAGCTGGGGGACAGAGGAACACAAGAGACAGGGAAGTTCAGGATTGTGAGGACTTGGTGGGGACCTGGGAGATGAAAAAGGAGGGAGCAAAGACCAGAGCCACTAACTGCAAACACGGACATGCATGTTGTACTGATTACCCTTAACCTTCTGCTTCTCCTCTTCCTCTGCAGGACACAATCCCACCCATTTCGGCCGGACAACCATCGCCAACATCCCAACACAGTAGGTGCTCCCACATGGAGAGAACTGTGTGTGCTCACGCTGTGGTGGGCATTGCTGGGAGCACACAGGCACAGTGCTCACCACAGCCCCATGCTGGGGACAGGGAGAGGTCCATGTGAGCAGCATGCCGCTCACAGTAGTGCCTGTGTCTCTCTGCGCCATGCACAAGCACAGCCACTGCAGCCAACACACTGGTATTGCTCGTTGCACTCCGCTGGTGGCAGAAGTGCTCTTGGGGCTGCATGGCCTCATTTCTGTAGTATCTCAGCCTACACCCTGGGTGCTGCCCCTCTAATCCCTGGGGTGGGGGTCTGACAGCTGGCGCATGGAGGTCCCACTGGGTGGAAGGGGTGGCCATGGGTGAGGTGCCAAGTGCCAGGGTGATCCCATGCCATATGCTCACCACAGTGCTCTCTGATCCCCTCTTTCCCTCTTCCAGAGACCGTCTCCTGTGGCTGCACAGCATTTTTGCCCTCATCTATTTCATCCTCACCATTCTTTGCATGGCTCACCACTCTGTCCACCTGGAATACAGAGAGAACGAGAAGGTGAGCAACCACTCCTCTTCCAGCCCTGCCTTTTTCAGTGCTAATGGACAACTTTTTGCTTTGTACAAATGCTGGTCCCAGTAGGTAGGGAGAGCGTTAGAAACAGCCTGGGGCTGGGCAGGCAGGGAAAGATGGGCTGGGTTTTGCCAGCTTCTGGAGAAAGTCTTGACAGCCTGGGAACAGATACCTCTCTCTTCCTGTCTTGCGTATCGCAACTGAAGCTCTGCTGTGTTCGTCTGTCTGTGGTATGGCATTGTCTGGCTCTGCCCCCAGGGTTTGGGACTGGGCATTGAGAAGGCCTGTGCTGACTGGCCTAGGGGTGGCAGTCGGTGCCCCAGCTCACTGATGGATGAGAAGAGTAGTAGTGATGTGTCCCGCAGACCTGTCCACCTACCCTCTCTGCACCTTCTTCTCTCCCAGGTCGCCCGGACACTGATGGTTACCCACATCCCTAAGGAGATCACAGACCCTTCCCTTATCATCAAACATTTCCAGTGAGTAGCAGTGTGCCACAGCCTCGCTGAGTGAGTGGCAGGCAGGTGGCAGGGGCTGTCCCCATGCGCTGATTCCTGGTGCCAACATATCCCTGTGCTTGCAGCGAGGCTTATCCCAGCTGCACCATCACCAATGTCCAGTTCTGCTTTGATGTGCGCAAGCTGATGAAGCTGGATGCAGAGAGGTGAGTGCATGCACATCCACATTGCCTCTGTGGGTGGGTGTACCACTCAGGGGTCTCGGGGCTGTGTTTCTGTTTGTATGTCTGCCACTCCCCACATGACCTTCACCCCTGTTGGCTTCCTGGCAGGCGCAAGGCAATGAAGGGGCGGCTTTACTTCACCACCAAGGCACAGAAAGAGGGGAAGATCATGATCAAAACCCACCCCTGCGCCCGCATCTTCTGCTGCGGCTTCTGTGGCTTCGAGCAGGTAGGAGGGTAGGGGCAGGGCTGCAAGCAGCACGTGTGCACCACGGGCAAGGCAGAGCATGGCAGCTTGCCTGTGCCCCAGCTCGACAAGCGCAGCAGAGCTCCGGCTGCTCCTGCAGGTGGATGCTGAGCAGTACTATGGGGAGCTGGAGGAGAAGCTCACAGATGAGTTCAATGCTGAGCGCAACCGCATCACGCTCAAGCGGCTGGACATGGCCTTCGTCACCTTCCAGGATGAGCGGATGACAGCTGTGTGAGTGCCCCTCATGCAACAGGCACGGGGATATCTCGCAGCCTGGTGGCCACCACTGCTGGGAAACTGGGGCACCTTGCCATCTTTTCCAGCCAAAGCCAGGCAATGAGTCTGTCTCCTCTGTGCCTCTGCCATCTGCAGAGACAGCTGCCCTGTTGGGACTGTGGGAAGGGTCTCACAGGAAGTGAGACCTGACCCCTGGCTCCCTGCTCCTGCAGGATTTTGAAGGACTACAGCCACATCCGCTGCTGCAAGCACCCCCAGCAGTCCTCTGTCACCACCGTGGTCAAGTCACACCACTGGGGCGTTCGCTATGCACCTGCACCCAGCGATATCATCTGGTGAACCCCCATGGCAGGAGGGAGGGAGGAATGGGGGGCAAGCAGATGTGGTGGGAACCTATGCCCATAGCTATAGGGAGACCATATAGCTGTGAAGGAGAATATAGGTATATGTCCACATCTGTAGGAAACTTTCCCAGAGTGGCAGGAGCTGACAATCCCTCCTATGCCATAGCAGAAGTCAGCAGGAGTGATGGGGGTCATCACCCCAAGGGTGGCAGGGCTCAGCCAGCTGAGATTTGGGGAGATTGTCATGCTTCAGTTTCTCCAGCCTGACTCAAAAGCCCCCTGGTGGTACAGACCTCTTCTGTGGCTATTCTCTGGTCCAGGGAGCTCTGCAGGTGACAGCACAGCAGCACTGGGAGGGGAAGAGGGTGAGCTTAGAACAGGGTCTGCCAGAATGGCTGGTGCAGGTATCAGGAGGGACAGCTTTGTGAAGCTGTGTTGTGAAGCTATGTTGGGAGGCCATGACACATGGCCTTTACTCTCCATCATGTCCAGTTCACGTTTTCCTCCCACAGGGAGAATTTGTCAGTCCGTGGCACATCCTGGTGGGTGCGATTCATCCTCCTTAATATCTGCCTGTTCGTCCTTCTCTTCTTCCTCACCACGCCAGCCATCATTGTCAACACTATGGACATGTTCAATGTCACGCACCCTGTGGAGAGCCTCAAGGTAGTTCCTGGTACCCCGTGCCAATTTTCCTAAAGGGTCACCATTTCCAGGCTTGTCTGTGAGAGGGGTAGGGTACCAGCTCTACACTGGCCCAAGAAGACAAGCCATCACTGGGATGGGCATTGATGAGAGACAAGGAGTGGTCGTGCTTCCTTGTGTTTCCAGTGGCAGAACCCTGGGGCACCTGTGCAAACCTGGGTTTTGGTACTGGTGTCCATGAGGGTGGGCAGGTTGCTGTCCATGCATGAGGAAAGGTCTGGGAGGAGCTCTAGGAGATGTTAGGAGCTGCCAGCAGCACCTCTCCTTGCTCATTGACCTATGAACTTCTGGGTGGGCACTGGGGCTCAGAGATGGCTGTGGTGCCCTTGGCTGGCCTCAAGCTCTTCTCTCCTGAAACAAATGCCCCTGCTCAGGGAGAGGATCCCCCAGCCTGCCTGCTGCACCCACCATCCTGTGCCAGGAGGCCCACAGAGCTATCTCAGGCATGGCTGTGCTCTGGTGGACTCCTGAGGGATGTCTGGCATCTCTCCTACAGAACCCCATCATCACCCAGTTCTTCCCCACGCTGCTGCTCTGGGCTTTCTCTGTCTTCCTGCCCTTCCTTGTCTACTACTCGGCATTCTTCGAGTCTCACTGGACGAGGTAACGGGGCTGGCCCCCACGGTCCCCAGGGCTGCTGTAGATGGGAGGAACCTCAGTGGAAGGGGAACCCAACCTGCAGGGAGGCAGGCAGTGGAGCAGCAGACCCCATCAGAGCCCCATAGGTGTTTCTCTCCATGGAAAAAGACCCAAGTCCATGCCCAAAGGAGCCATTTCCTTCCCATAGTCCTGAACTCTACCAGGCTGCTGTCAAAGGCAGATGATTTTAAGATGGGTCTGAAGAAGTTTGGGAAAGGTGTGGTGTGATGGTGGACTGGCAGCAGCAGGGCCGTGATCCTGCTTGTGTGGCTCAACCCAGGCATGCTCCCAGCCTTCCAAGGCAGAGGTATGGCTTCAGGATGCTAAAACTCTCCTAGTAGAGGAAACTGCCCAGCTCCTACAATATGCTCCCTTCTGTCTTGACCCTCCATTGGCCCCAACCTTTGTACCTGGTCTGATAAGTCCTTGCAGGAGCTTTGTCACCACCTCCCTTCCTTTTCTGGGGGAAATGGGGGCTCGTGGACGCATTCTATACACCCATCTGCCTTTTGATGGGTGTCTACCCTAGCAGGGATGGTAGGAGAGGGCAAGGATGAAGGAGGTGAGAGGCTGGGAATACAAGAGCTTCTGCTACATGGTGACATCCCTGGCCTGGGAGATGCTTTTCAAGGCCCCAGTAGATGCAGAGAACAAATGCACATGCCTTTCTGGGGCTGGGAGTAGCTCCTTGGTGAAGAACAAGACCCAGCCGAGCCCCTTGCACCACCAGCTGCTTTTTCTTGGAGAAGTGCAATGTTCTTTTCTTGTCTCCCATCTCTGCAGGTCAAGTGAAAATCAGATCACCATGCATAAGTGCTTCTTCTTCCTGGTATTCATGGTTATTATCCTGCCCTCGCTGGGTCTGAGCAGGTACAAGCCACCCTGCCATGCTGCTCTCCCTGCTCCCTAGCTGCCAGGATCACACCCAAGCCCCTCAGCCCTGCAAGCCAGCCCCAATGGCCTAAGGTCCCACTGCCACTGGAACACAGCAGTCTCTGGGGAAAAAACCATTTTTTAGCAGTGCCATGCTGATCACAGCTGGTCACAGACAGAGCTTCCCTGTGAAGGACTGGCGTGGAGTAGCTTGCCAGTCTGCCACGGCTGACCCAAGGGTGTTGGTGGTGGTCAGCTGCTGCTTGGGGCCAGCCCTTCAGCAGACCCTGAAAGGACCTGGTCAGGTATTTGTATAGCTCCAGCTACAGCAATCCTGGCTGTCCAGGAGGCAAGCACCCACTCCACAGTGGTTTTGTGTGGCAGAAGGGGCTGCTCTGGCAGTGTAGGGTCCAGAGGGTCTTGCCCCCTCAGGGAAGGGGAAAGCATGCTCTGCAGCTCCCCCTCTTTCTGAGCTGCTCCTCTTCTCTCCACTCCAGCTTGGACCTGTTTTTCCGCTGGCTCTTTGACACCCACTTTCTGGCCGAAGCCGAAATCAAGTTCCAGTGAGTAGCAGGAAGCTCCCAGACTTCCCAGGCAAGCGGGAGCACCTGTTGTCAGCCCCCAGCAGCTCTCCTGGCTGCCTGCCCGAGCATTCTCTCACACTCTCTGTCCCTGGGGCAGGTGTGTTTTCCTCCCAGACAATGGCGCTTTCTTTGTAAACTACGTGGTCACCTCCAGCCTAATTGGGACAGCCATGGAGCTGCTGCGCATCCCGGGCCTCCTCGTCTACACTGCCCGCCTCTGCTTTGCCAAGTCAGAGCCTGAACGGCTCCATGTCAAGCGGGTATGTGATTCTGGTCACCTCTGACCCTGCACAACCCCCAGCACAGCAGGGATGCGCTTGCTGGAAACTCAGACTGTCATGGTCCTGTGGAGATACTTGTGGGGACTTCTTCAGGATTCACCTTGGGAGCTAATGGGGATGAGGCAATCCTGTGGGCCAGGGTGCAAAGGCAAGTGGAGACTTTGCAGAGGCAGTAATGACACTGTTGTTTGTGCCCCAGAGCCAAGCCTACCAGTTCCAGTTTGGACTAGAATACGCCTGGACCTGCTGTATCTTCTCTGTTGTCATGACCTACAGCATCACCTGCCCCATCATCGTCCCCTTCGGTGAGTATGATCACATGCCCGTGTTCTTGGCCGTGACAAGAACAGCCTGTCCCAACCACCAGCAGGGGCATGGGAGTGCAAGCTTCCTGCATGGTACAGGAGGGCACTCGTGGGCATCATCCCCTGGCTGTCCCCACTGCCCTGCTCCCAAATGGCCCCTCTTGTCCCACCAGGGTTGCTCTACATGCTGCTCAAGCACATGGTTGACCGGTACAACATTTACTACGTGTACATCCCCACCAAGCTGAACCAGCGCCTCCACGTGGCTGCCATCAGCCAGGTCGTGGTGGCTCCCATCCTCTGCATGTTCTGGCTGCTCTTCTTCTCAGTCCTGCGCCTCGGTAGGGAGAGCTTGGGGCTGTGCCCTGCCACTGCTGAGGGTCATGCTTGGGGATGGCAAGCCACTGGTGTCACCCCCGAGTTTGGCATGGCATGAAGGGTGGGAAGGGGGAAGGTGGTGTGGAGACCTGACATCTGAGGGAGGTGTCAGCTAGTGTTTTGGGAAGGGGGTAGAGATATTGTAAGACACAAAGCAGGCACCAGTCTGGGGCTCACTGGACATGTAGCAAGTTCTTGGAGGCTCATGTGCTGCCCCAGTGTCTCTGTGCTCTAGGTCCCACTCGGCCTGTCACCCTCTTTACCTTTGTGGTCCTCCTCTCCTGCATCATCTTCTCCTTCTTTGGTCTCTGCCTGAAGAAGCTGCAGCCACGAAAACCCTCCAGCTACCAGGTGAGCACAGGCAGCTGCCCACTTTGTTCCTTCACTCCACCGTATTCACTCCTTGCATCTCTGAGGTGCATTTGCCGTGGGAGTCTGAGGCGGCATTTGGCTGTCCCCAGCCAAAGCTGGGACTCCCAAACCATCATTTCCTCCTGGCCTCCCTCTCCTCAGATGTCCGACCAATCTGAGGGCAGCTTCAATGATGTGGAGCGGAGCAGTGTTTCCTCCACCCCTAACTCCAACGTGAGTCCCCCTCCCCCAGCCCTGCTGTGATTCCTGCCTTTGCTCCCCTGGGTCCTGATGGCCTACTGCCCCCTGGGGCAGCTCTTTGTGGCCACTGTCCTGCAGGAGCCTGAGCTGAGCCTGACGCCAGCGGCCTCTCCAGCACACCAGTCCTATGGCACCATGGGCAACCACCTGGAGCCAGCAGAGGATGGGGAGGATGGGGGGCTGCAGAGCTTCGAGACAGAGCTGGAGACAGTGGAGGGCGAGTACAGGAGCGGCCCTGTGATGGAGAGCCAGGCTCGCTACCAGTGAACATCTGTGCTGCTGGCCAAGGACCAACCGTGCTGAGAGTGGAGGATGTGCCATGGGGCAGGAAGGAGCCTTCCCGGCACTGGTGGGGGCCACCTCTCTGATGGAACAGGGCGTGACAGGACTGATGTAAGGGGGAGACCTATTGCATGGGAGGTGGCAGGAGGCTCTGCTGGTCCTTCCCGCTGCCTGGACTGGCTGAGCCCCCTAGTGTCCCGCTGTCCCCATCTGCCTCTTCCAGCCCACAGTGGGGAAGAGGGGGTGCAGCAGTATAGGGAGAGGGTCTCTCTGAGAGGCCATGCTTTTGAGGGCAGGAGGGAGGCCCTTGCCCCTCTGTGAGGAGGAAGCAGCCCAGACAGCACAGATGAATGTGCCTGCCACCACACTGTCCTGTGGGTCCTCAGTGGCAGGGGTTGGCCACCCCTAATCCTTGCATCCCACCCCACCCACCCACTGCTCAGGCAGCCATCCCACTACCTCCCGTGCTGCTGGCCATCCAGGCTGCTGCCTGCCCCTGCTTTGCCCATTAAAGCAGGGACTTCTGACATACGTGTGCATTGGTGGAGAGGTGAGTGCCCGGGGCAGCTCCTACATCTGCCTGAGCACCAGTGGCCCTGCCCCAAGGCAGGCATCAAATGCAAGCCCAGCTCTTCCTCAACTTCCCACCCTATCCTTCCATCTTCCTGCACTATGCCTGTGCCCTTGGGCTCTTGGGGAGAAGTGGGAGGTCAAGGGACAAGTCTGTTTAATGGCTACAAGAGCAGCTCCTTGTCGCTCCTGTCCCCTGGCAGTATTCCCCTTGTGCTCACGCTCTCCCTAGGGCTGCCCATGACACCCAGCATGGCTCTGTCCTGTTGCAACAGAAAGGCAGGGTGAAGGCTGGCAGGATCCAGACTTCCAGGTCCTCCTGGTCCACCACATCCTGCCTACCCTCACTCACAAGCCACAGCTGTGGGATGCTCCCCCAGCAGCCACACTGCCTCTCTAGTGTGAGTCCTGCTGTGGTTAGTGTAAGTGCACCAATTCCTGCCCAGATAGCATCCCTGGAGTTTTCCAGCTCATCCAGAGTAGCTGTGGTGGCCCCTGGGGACAAAGGCTTATCCTCAGCCTGCTGAGCCCCTCTCCCACCATAGCTCACCTGGGCATGCTGGCTCCTCGCTCAGCCCTGCTTAGGCCTCAGAGCTGATTTTCCTGTCCTTGATTTTTCTGCTAGCTTCGAGCAACTCAAGTTGCCACTATCCTGGAGCAGGGAAGGGAGGATAGTGCAGCTCTGCTGGCACCAGGGCTGCCAGAATGGTGAGTGCTGCTGTGTGAAAGCAGATGCTCAGCCATGGCACTGCTCAGCATTAGTGGTGCCACTGGGAGGAGGGGCATGGTGTGCCAGTTCTGGGTGGGGTGCAGGAAGGTTAAAAAGCAGCTGAGCAGTGAGTTGTGGGTCTCAGTTGGACTCAAGTGGGTCCTGGGCTATTCCTGGGAGGCTGGTGGGTCTCAGCCCAGCCAGCTGGCCCCAATGGCCCCAATCTCACCCACGCTCCTGCATGCTAGGGCAGTGGCTGCAGCACACTATCTACCCAGGCAGTTGCCTCGGGTGAGTCTTGAGCTCAGCTGCTCCCTCCCAACCCCAAAAAGTATCCCATGGGTTTGGTGGCTTCCTGCCGCGCGCCCCCATGGCTGCCCACAGCTCAGCCACTGCCCGCTCCAGGGGCAGCCCCAAACAGGGCAGGGGGATGCTGGTGGCCTCTCTGAGGGTGGAAGTAAGTGCCTAGGAGTGGCGCTGTGTCCTCAGGAGCTCAGGCTGCTGGTCTGATTGCCCTTGGCTGCCCCACTGTAGGAATGTGCCAGAGGTCTGTACCTTCTTGTGATTTATTGCTATGACCGTGCCTTGAATAAAATGACTTCACCCAGCTGCTGCCTGGCGTCGTCACCCCAACCCGTCTTACCTGGCACCACTATAGGGGGAGGCCTTGCCAGTGGAGCCTGCAAAAGTACTCCATCCCCTTTTCCCACCTGTGGACTGCTTTTGACCCTGTCTGGGTATGTTCACAGAAACAAACACCAGCAAGTGGACAGAAACAGCAAAGTCACAGGAGCAGGAGAGCACCTCACTGTATCCTATCAGATGGACTGGCACAGCCCTTGGCACCATCCCTATACTGGGGATGGGGTGCAACCCTGGGACTCCCATGTGCATTTCCTGCACATCTGTAAGCACTCTCTCCTGGGGCAGAGTCACACTGGCAGGGCTGGCTCAGAACACCAGCAAAGGTGCAGACATTGCCTGGAGGTAGCAGGAGGGTGGCCTGGAGCCCCTCTGGGACCCTTCCCATCTGGAGATGGAGCAGATGGTCCCAAAGCTGAACTGCCCACCAGCAAGTCCCAGGGAAGGAGGTGAACACCATTTTAGGAGCCTTTTTCTAGAGTTTGAGCAGACAGTGCTCTTTTACTCCCCTCATCCCTCCCAAAACTCACTCTTTATACCCAAATTCCTACTTGAATGATTTACCTCTGGTTTCAGCAGGTCTCTCCTGCTGGCTCTTCCATAGCTCCTCTGGAGTGAACCCTGCCTGGCCACTCTGGCAAGATAGGGCTTTCCTTCAGGTGAAAAACTGGAAAATTTCAAATCCCAGTTCCACATCACACACCCCTACAGAGGCCTCCCCTGGTTTGTAATGAGTGGTAAACAGGGCTAAACGCTGGGGCAGGAGCTCTGGCTGTGAGCGAGGGCTGCAATTGCCTCTGGCTCACAGCTCTCCCAGCCCTCACGCTGGGGAAGCTCATTACAGCCTAGGGAGGCTGTGTGAGCCCCATGACACTGCACCTCCGCCATGCCAGCCCTCAGAAACACACTCCCTGACTGCAGCCTGCACACTCAGAAGTCCCTCAGCCAGAGCCAATCAATTGCATGGAGTCTCCCACTGTGCCTGCTGGTGGTGGGCAGTGACAGGAGCATTCCCACCAGGCAGCAGCCTGGGGCAGTTTGTGGGAGCTGTGGCAAACATCCATGCTGCTGCAGGCAGCCAAAGCTGAGAGTGCTGCTGGAGGCTGCCGCGCTGACCCTTCCCTGCAGCACCAGGTTGGGGTCCCACCCCCAGCCCTGAGGCTGGCAGCTGTGCTCCAAGGCCAGGAAGAGCTGGAAAAATTATTTTAGCAATGACTCAAAGGGGGGATTTCTTTGCATTCAGATCTCTGCTGCTCTCCTCCCCTTTACAGCCCCTCACACACTTGCCTGTGGTACAAGCCCCATCCTAAACATTCCCCAAGGCAGAGCAGCATGGCTTTCCCAGGATGTTCACCCTTCTTTCCTGTGCCAGGGCTGGGATTTTCAGCCTTTGAGATGCTATTACAGACCCTGAGCTGGCTTCCCCACTCTGGGCACCGTTCTTCAGCATCAAGTGCCCAGCTCTCCCAGGGCTGGAAACCCACCATGTCAAAGCTAGAACAGGCCCCAAGCAGGAGGAGACAGGACCTCCTGCATCCTCACCAGCTGCTCCCTGGGCAAGGCTGATGGGGTGGCTCTGCAGTCCAGCTGGCAGGGTGGATGCTGCATGGAGAAGGCAGGAATTCACTGTGAGGCCACACTCTGCTGCTGTGGGCAACCAGCAGCCAGTGACCAACAGCAGGTGAGCCGATGCTATGTCAAAAAACAAAAGCAGCAGCTGAACAACAGAAAAGGGAGTTTTTAGGCTGATTGCTTAAGATTCTAATTCCATTAGAGACTCTTATATTCAAAAAGCAATGAGCAATCAGTAGCAGGATGTCTCTGCTAGCCCTCCGCTGCCCACCCATTCAATTACCATGCACAAAAACTTCCAGCAGGCATTTGCTGCTGGATGCCTTCTCACATCAGTTTAGCTGCGCTACACAAGTGTTCCCAGTGACCAGTATCTCCAGAGCTAGAGCCAACAAGAAACAAGTAAACCCCTTTCTGTCATCCTCCTTTTCTACCTCTGCTTGGGCCTTTTATATTAAAATAAACATAAGGCATCAAAGAGGGCTAAGACTCACTCTTGTTCTTTATTAAACAGTACAGCTGGGTATAAGAGGCACACAGACTAGTCCAGTTCTCTTGGGAGTTACACAAAATGTGGCACAGAAAAAGAGAAGTCAAGGAGCTGGGAAAGCTAGAGGGAGCAGGGATGGTTTGGGGTAGTAACACCCACACCCCACTCATCACACAGCTGCCTACTTGTCACACAGAGCCAGAAGGTGTCACATTCCCATGATGCTGAAGGCTGATGCCCCAAAACAGGGTTGCAAAGAGGATATTCCCATTCCCAAACCCTCCTGCCCCATATCATGCCATCACAGCTAGTGCCTCCCTTCAGGCCTGGGTCCTCCATCCCTCACTGCTGGGTGCAAGAATGGGGAGGACTTCACCTCACCCAGCAGATGGAGAGAGCCACAGGCCAGAATGCACAGCACCACACTGTAGCACTGCAGGGGCAGAACTACATGTTACCATGGGGAGAACAATGAACATGGGGATGTTCACTACCTGATCCACAACACCTCTCAGTTTGCCTACCAAACACAGCTGGAAGGCTCTTTGCTTGCTGGAAGCCCATGGCTACCATAAGACCTAGTGCCAGGGAATCAGAGACCCATCATCCCCTCCCTGGCATGGGCTTGAGAGACCTCAGCTACATGGAGCCTTCTCCTGCCCCAGAGTGGACATCTGAATACTGGAGGAATGTCTCCAGAACAGGACCATCTCAGCCCTCAACACCAGACTACTCCTGTCCATACCCCTGTAACTGAAAAATTGCTCCATGTCCTTGCTCTGGGGCTAGTAATGCCTAGAAACCTGGTTCTGCCTGTTCCACAGTGGCTTCCACATAAAGATGAACGCTTCCTTAAAGTGCTCAAGCTCAGCTACCCCCAGAGCCCTCAGGTACCGCTTCTCAGCCATTTTCTGGGATTTCTTCTGGCAGATGCTGTCTTTTCATTCCTATGAGGGTGAGGAACTCTGCACATGGGCACTGTGTGCAGCTGGGAAGCACTCCAGATTCTGATAGCATCAGCTGAAAGATTCCAGCTATGCTTCCTCTGGCCGAGAGCCAGAATTTCTGGAAGCTGTTGCCATGACATGATTGCAACCTTCATTTTTATTTTAAGACATCTTTGCCTTGTGTTTACTTTATTCTCCTCAACACAAAGCAGTAAACAGACACTGCTACAGCATTTCAGATGGCTCTAAGGTTAAACCAACTGGCCAAATCAATACAAAGCCTTTCAGCTGGCAGCCCAGACCTGCCAAAAGCAGCCTCACCTTAATGTGACACCACTGCAATCATCCCTAGGAAACCTACTGAGTTGTGACCAACGTGACACACAGAAAACTATGGATCCCATCTAGGGCAGAGGCAAAGCTGAAGAGAGCACCAGGATTAACCATCTTTTGTGTTGGTGAAGGGATAGGGGAAAAAGTTTTGAGGACAGCCTCGTGGTATGACCAGCCCTCACCTTTGCTGCCCCTGCCCCTGGAGGAAGCCAAATCCATCACTGTCACAGCTGAACCAGATACAGCAGCCCAAGAGGAGTGAGCAGTGCCAGACCTGGCAAGTACGGGCACGGCAAATAGGACCTTGAGCAAATAAGCCCAAGAGGCCTATGCCAGCTTTCACCTAACTAGGGTGGCTACTCAGAGCAGGGAAGATGAGCCAGCTAAAAAACAGAGTAGGTACATGGGTGTTGGTGCTCCAACTAGCCCAAAGGAACTTGGGGCAGGGTGGCACACCTGTGCTGCGGCACACCCAGGCTTCTCTTCAGAGATGTACCCTGCCAGCCTTTAGCAAAGGCAGAGATGTGTTGAAGCAAGGTCGAATCACTGTGAGAGCCCCAAAGCACACATGACTAGTGGAGACAGCGATGGGCTGGTGCACAGAGACAGGTGGGGAGTGGCAGAGAGTGCTCCCCGTGCTCAGGACCGCTGCGTGGTTAGGGATGGGGATGGCTGGCAAGATCTAGTCCCCTTCTGGGTGGGTGTCCCAGCCATGCTGCATGGCTTTCACCACAGCACTGTAGAGTTTGCTCCAAGCCTCCTGCACCTCTGGGCTGAAGGCAGTCCCAAGGCATTTCTCCAGCATGTACAGCAAGGACTCGCCGACAGTCTGCAAACCAAATAGGGAGGTGTCAAGCTCAGCACCAGGGGATGACATGCAGTCTCTTGTCTCACTTCACCACCTTTTCTGACTTCTCCCATTACAGGGTACCTGCTCCTCCTCCACTAGCAGCAGCAGCCCCCCATCCCTGGCTCCTCAGAGGGGACCCAGAACCAGTCCATGTCATCCCCTTCCCCTGCCCTATGCTGGCCCTCATCCCACACACTGGGTGACTGTGGAGGGCAAGGCAGGGAGCAAGGGCTGACACCACACATGCAACACCAGAGGAGAGGGACACATACATCCTCCATGGCTCCCAGATACAAGTAGACAGCCCCATCCCTTGGCATAGCAGTGAAGCAGCAGAGCTGAGAAACACCCTGATGCCAGGAGAGCGGGTCAGATCCTAGGCTGGATGCTTAGGGCCTGCCTTGATGCCTCTCAGGCTTCTCCACAGGGCACTGCTCCTCATATTGCTGTGAGCAACCCCATGCAGGGGCGCCCACACACTGAGGGCGGGACTGGTGGGGACAAAAGGGACCCTGCTCCCTCTGAAGAGGACAAAAGCTAGCAGTATCAGGAGTGAGCCATGTGTTGGTTAGAAACCTTTTCTTCAACCTGCCATTCCCTGCTGAATTATCAAGCATTTCTGTCCATGTTTGATGGCAGAAGCAGAGTAAGCAAGGGTTTAGTAGGGAAGATGCTCAGGCCTTACTGCCATGGAGGAAGAAGGGACTGGGATTTAACAACCCCAAACCAGAGCAGATACAGAGAGGTGGATGCTCCCTTTTCCAGATGTGGTGAGGTTTGCCCAGAGCATTTGATGCAGAGATCCAGGGAAAAGGCTGAGCCTGAAGCCCTGTGTCACAGGAGAGACTGCAGTGCCCCAAACCATGGTTCTCTCCAAACGGTGGAAATGCCTTGCACCCATCTGTCCTTTCTCCCCAGGCTTACTGGGGAAGGGTAGAAAATGAGGGGACCTCAAGGGTTTCCCTCATCGGGCCAATGTCACTATGTAGGTATCAGCATCTTGGGCAGGATGCCCTGAGCCACCAGCTTTCTCTCCAGCCAGTTGAACCCAGGAGAAGGATGGGGGCAGCCAAGGGCTGCAGGCAGGGGTGCACAAACACAGCTGCAACAGAACAAGAGAGGACACCTCACCGAGAAAGACTCGATCTTCACACCAACTGCCTGGTGCTTCTTGCCAAGGTTGCAGAGATACTCTTCCAGGCAGGACAAGTTCTCCAGGTGACTCACAGCAGCATTGATCACCAGCATCACCTGGTGCAGGAGCAGAAAGGCAGAATGGCATTAACAGCAAGAGGAACAAAGAGTCTGACTCTTCTACTTCACCCTTGTCAGCCTAACCCACTCTAAGCCCAGCAGATGCCCTCTGAGCTTCCCTTTGCTCTACTCTGATGTGTGTGTCAAATCAGTGAGGCATGCTGGCAGCAGCACACTCCGCATCCTTCCATGGGACACTGCCAGAGGTGCACAGCAAGCAGCACTGCTAACCACCCTGTCCTAGAGAGGGCTAACAGCCCTACAGCAGAGCAGCTGCAGGCTAAGACCTAATGCTGATGCAGTCATTACAACTGCTAGGACCCCAGGACAACTGCATGGGAACACTGGAAATCGCTAGGACTGCAGTTTCCAACTAGGAGTTGCCAAGATGGTGCAATTGTGAATAAGACCACTCTGATTCTAAGAACAGCCAAGGTGTTTGAAGAGATGGGGTGGATAGTACAGCCAGGTCTCTTGACCTGGGCTGGTAAACCATATACCACATGGTCTCCCAGGAGCATCAGGAGACAAATGGAAACAAGACAGATAAATTTAATGAAGGGTGAAGGGAACAGACATACAAAATTAGAAGAAGAGATAAAAGCCAGGGCATGGTTACCTTGGCAAAACCAAGAGGTAATAGAGTTGTGCCCTATAATTTCAACAGGAAATTTATCTACAACAAGAGCAAATAGCTATGTCAGCTCAAAGCAATAATAGAAGTAAAAATGGACTTAACTTTGCCAACAAACAGAGGCTGGAAAACAGTAAAAAGCTTGCAGCTATCAGAGAGAGGAGCACAGTCCTGAAACCGCCTCTTATGAAGAATAAAGACAGGCAAGCAAGACACCAAACTCCTCCCTGAGGCAGCTCACTCAGGTAGGAAAAGGCTTCCAGCTTTCACAGGAGGAAATTCACTCTCAGACAAGGGCATGAAAACCAACATGGTGCTTCTTAGCCACCACAACCCGCATCTTCATCCCCTCCCCACTGTTGTGGGACACTTTGTTCTGGCAATAGTGCCTTCTGCTAGCATGAGTGACTCCTGCAGTTACCATCTCAGGAGGAAACTTCCCATGCGTTCCCTGGTCAGACACCACAGTCTCAAGTCATTTCCTAAGGGCTTCTTCCTCCATGGAGGCTGTGCTGCAGCCATGCCATAGCCCCTCTCTCACCTTCCTGATGTGATCCAGGAACTCGGGGGCAGAGAGGCACTCCTGAGGGCTGGCAAACTGCTTGCAGTTGTACTGGAAAAGGGGCAACAGGTCAGGATCCAAGTCAAACAACCTGCAAAAGCAAGAGAGAAACCCCATCATCTCACTTTCTCAGCTTTATTTAAAGTCCTACTCACCCCAGGAACAACCCCATCAGCAGCACAACCACAGCCTCCTTCTACCTCCCTTCCTACCTACTGATCCCTCCTATCTGTAAAGGATTCAAAAGTTCTGAAAAGTTTTAGTTTGGGACAATCCAGATCAGCTATAGACAAAAACCTCTCTACTTCCCTGACCCACAGCTCCAGCTCTCAGATATTGTGTCTATGGCACCTGAGGACTAGTCCCAGCTCACTGGAGTTCCTCCAGCCTAGCCTTTCTCCCCAGAGTCTTGGTTGTTGCCTCAGCTCTTCCCATTCCCACTTCTTGATCCCCTTGAACCCAAAAGCTCACAAATCAGGGAAGGCCTCCAAGCTCCAGCAGCTTTCTGGAGCAAGGGGAGCATGAACAAACTCAGACACTCTCCGACACCATCACCAGCTCCCATTCCTTCCCCCCTGCCCCTGCCCCATCGTCCCTGCCAGTGCATGTCAGGTACGTATAGGCCTCAATAGTAGCACCCAGGTAGATCTAACAGGCCACAGGAAATTAAGGCAAAATAGTCTATCTTCTCATCATTGCTGCACATTAAACTACTGCATCCCTCTCCCCCCACATTGCTGTCACTGCTCTAGTCCTGCTCTGGGAGGATCCCACTTGTTCCGGAAGCTGCTCATCAACTCTCCAACTGTTCTTTTTATATGACTTTTCATTGATTTTTGCCTTCTTCTCTTCACATAATTGATATAGTAATCTGCTTAGCAGAGGCAAGAAGCTGGGTATCAGCCATTCCCCCCGGCACACCTCTTCCTCTGACCTGACACTGAATCCCTCCTGGCGGCCAGGTCTGTGCCTGGGGCTGCACAGCAGTTCCCTGATTAGGGAACGATCGGGCTGCCCCTTCCATGCGCTCCCCAGAGCGGAGGGTACAAACGACCCTTCAACTGCAGAAGTCGCAGTGACAAGGCAGGGGATCAGTGGGCAGAAACGCACAAAACCTGCCCGCCGCTTCTCTCTCACCCTCCGTCTTCGCGTAACAAAGTTCTCACTGGCACAGCGTGGGAAAGGCGGGGGAGCAGCGCGGAGAGGAGCCCAGCAGTGCCCCACGCCGCTGCCCCACGGCACCCACGGCACCCGCGGCTGGGCGGCGGAGGGGCTTCGGCCCCGGCTGCTCTCGGAAGGGGAGAGAGGCCACGGGAAGGGAGCTGTCTGGGAGCCATCGCCAAGCACAGGGAAGCGTTTCTCTCCAAGAAACGGAGCCCGTCCATCCCTCCCGCCCGGGTCGATCCGGGGCGCCGGTGTCCGCATCTCGCCGCCGCGCTCACCTGGTGAAGAGGACGAGGCCGTGCTGCTCGGGGCTGCCGCTCACCCTCCGCCAGCTCTCCCGGATCAGCGCTCGCTGCCCGCCCGTCAGCGGCATCCCGCTCTCCATGGCGGGGCTCTGCCTCTGGCCGCCCGAGGCGAGGCGAGGCGAGGCGAGGCGCTGGCACCGCGGGCTCGGCGGGCGGAGGGGCCGGCAGCGGCGCCTCCCGCCCCTCGCTCGGCCGGGGGGGCCCTGCCCCCGCGCCCCCGCGCCCCCGCCCCGCCCGCAGCCGCGCCCGCCCGCACCCCTGCCCTGCCCCGCGGCCCCTCTGCTGCACCCCCGGCTGCCCCGGCCGGGGAAGGAAGAGCTCATCGAGGATCTCCCATTCGGGAAAAGGAAGAAAAACGAAATTCGAAATCCCCAAACCTCCTTATCCCGGGTCCGCGGGGCAGAGCAGAAAGTTCAGCTCATTCACGGTTGACATTTCCCGTTGACCTGATTTTGCGAGCGAAGCAGCATCGCAGAGCCGTGCCAGCGACGGGACCACCGAGACCCGGACACTTTCCCTCACCATTCAGCACAGCTCCTTCTGAGCGTAACTTTGCTTGGGAGGGCCTCAGCGATGCTCCACCATCCTCTTGCTCTTGGCTACTTCCACTGAGACTCTGGATGCCACAAACCACCCTGCTGTTTCCTCAGGCAGATGCAGTCTAGACACTGCAAAGTACGTATTTAATTTAAGGCTAATTAAGCCAGCTGAACCAGACAAAATTGTTAATAACAGATCAGAAGACATATCATCTTTGTCAATTGTGTTCAGGATGCACAGATTCCCTTTATTGTTCAGACACTGCTTAATTTGGCCCCAGGATGTAAGCAGCACAGAGGAAACAAAGCAAGAAGGGCAAATGAGATCTCAAGCTGCACAGCAGAAGTCAGGAAAGTTAAGGTTTTCATAAGGATGTGAGCAATACAAAAGCACAAATATTACTGAAACCATTGCAGTCTGCTCCAAAATAACAATTGTGCTGATTTTTTTACAAGTTCTGGTTCCGTAATCAGACTTATTTCTTGTAATCAGGAGAGAAAACAACAGCCTCCAACACAACCCAAGAGCACATTGACTCAGTGTAGGCAGAAAGGAGTACTGAACATAATCCCTGGGAGGAGACAAGTTCAAAGGCACAATGCTACATTCTCAACCCCAGCTTTTCTCCCAGGGGCCTTTCTCCTATGGAGCTGGAGTGACAGCACTGACTGCAGTGACAGCAGGAAGCCACCCGAGATGGCTCTGCAAGTGCCAGAATAAATTACCTGTTTTCTCAGGATTTTGAGACCTCACATTTTCAGTGCAGACTGTACAAGATGCTGCATAGGAATAGCTCCAAAAGCATTAGAGGAAACTGAAGAATCCTGTCCAAAAGCTGAGCTATTGAAGGAAGAGTCCAACAAACCCACAAAAACACTGAATTGTCAGATAGGACTAAGGAGTCACACTAATACTACTGAGCCAGAAAACAAATGATGTCACAGGTACACTGTGTGTTAAATGACATTGTTAGGAAAGACTTAATTAATGTCAAAGGTTCCAAGTCCTTGGAAAATGCAAATGGCTTCTGTTAAATCATGACTCCTGTTAGAAACACAGGATTTTACCTTTCATACTAACTAAGAAAACCCCCAAAAGCATACCATCTCTACACAGCTCTATTCTTAGAGAACAGGGGATAGATTGAAAGCATTCAATATTAAAGTCACGAGACGCAGGACCATCTCATGGCTGGGGAGTCAGAACATACAACCTGCCAGCCTGCAGTGCTTCCTGCTGGTGGCCACCATCTTCTGCTCCAGGACAAGTTTCCACTAAAAACAGTGTCTTAGTTGTGTGATTGCAAAGGGAACGTCCCCACTGGGTACTGATGATTAATCACTGTGATGGTAACTGCTGAAGCTGCAAGGAGCCTGAAAGGGCAGCTGGGAGAGCAGCAGGAAATATCAGGTTAATCCGAGCAGGGCAAACACTGGCCCAGTAGTGCAATGTAAACATTATCTATCTTGCAGCTGATCAAGCACACCAGCAAAGAGCACGAAGTGTCATCTTGTGTCATCTGCACAAGGTACTCTGACATTTCAGCCAGTTGTCAAACACACAGCTGTGGAGCTTCACCAGAGCCTGGCTGGACAGCACAGTCTGGCCCTGCTAACAAGAAAGGGTAGGAAAACAGATAGGCAGTGGTGTGCTGCTGGAAAGGAGCATGGAGAGTCATCCCAGGCCACAGGATACTGAGGAGCAGAGTTGAAGCATATATGTGAAGCCAGAGCAGCAAACAAGGCTGAATATTTGCCTAGCAACGTTTGACCTGACTGACAGTGGAGGAAGAGAAGCACCACAAAACCGAGTTGTTGTACTTAAGAGTGATCAGCTCCTGAAGATTAGTTGGGATGTAGGACACCTTTCCTCGCATCCACATAGGCACCATATCAGCTACCCTGTTCCAGAGCAACAACAAAGTACAGGTTCAGCCATTGCTCCAGCCATGGCTAGGGTGTCTCAGACAACAGCAGTGAAACCATGGTGGTAAAGAGAAAATGGTGAATCTTGTCCAAAGCCTCCCGCCCTGCACCTTCCCTCTGTGCTGCAGATGGTGGCTGCACGCTGAGCACGCGCAGACAAGGCACAAGTGCCAGAACACACCAGACATAATGGCAGCAACGAGAGTGCTCAGCGTGACATACCTTCCTTCCATGAGAAATACAGGTACCCCAGCTGATGAAAGGGGCAATGTGCTGGCCATACCGCCAACCCACCTGTTGGCACCCAGCCCCCACGCTGGTATGACACTCAGCAGAGTCTAAGAACTCTTAATTTCTTCCCTGACTCCCCCAGCAACATCTCCTTCTGGGCAAGATACATTCAGGAGCAGTTTCCCCACCTTCCCTGACTCTCTGAACGGTGAATTCATCCCTTTGCTGCCTTTTGGCACTGGCACATGTTCCCTCCCTTAATAAAACCAGGATTTTTTAGCCTGTACCGCATAGGTCTTCCAGCACAGGAGGAAGGAGCTGCAAGGAGGGACTTGATGTGGGAGACAGGGAGAACTCAGGGGTAAGAAACATATGAACCACCATTCACATGACTTGAAAGAGCAAGAGTTTGGGAGACACGGTGCTCTTCCCTATGTGCAAAGCAGCTTCTCCCTTGCAGCTGTGTGGCTGTCAGTGGAGTTCCTCTTGCTGTCACAGCACTGAGGTGCTGAGAGCACAAGTGGAGTCCAGAGAGGATTTAAAGTACAAGGAAAAACAAACAAGGAAACCTCCCTTCTTGTTCCAAATGTTTTGTGAGCCTTCAAGCGTGAGAATCGCAGCAAGAGGTTGACCACTGCAAATGTTTCCATCGTCTGAGGGTTTCCTGTGATGCTTTCCAGCTCCCTTGGCTCCATGTACCTAACCTGGAAGCTCAGCTCTTTTCTGAGCTCTTCTTGGATTTCTACAAGACCATCCCTGGAACTCTAATGAGTGAAAAACCACGAGGTCAGCAGCACAGACTGCTCCAAAATCATCTGTGGACTACTTAGAGAAAGGGGAAGGAGGTTTCTGGAGAAACTCACTGCAATTCAAAGAGAATGATAACACTCTTTTGTGCTTTAGGAGAACACAAATTTATGTTTTTAGTTTGCAGTGAGTCTCATTATTGTAATCTACAGCCTCTTCAAGCTATAGTACCAACACTCTTAACTGCCCTTACCAAGTGTTGGCTTTTCTTGTTCTCTGTCTCAGTTTACCTACATGGAAAGAAACTTGACCAATCTCACAAAACAGTGTGACAGAACTAGGAATAAGCTCACAAATGCCAATCCCCAACCCTGAAGTCAGGGTTCACAGCTTCTGGAGAACAGCCCTTCCTGCCCAGGGAGGCCCTATCTACCTGGCCCAGGAACAACTGCTTTGCACGTGCTGCTGTGGCACTGTCAGATTTCATCCCAGCTGCTGCACTAACCAGCCCATATACCCTTTGAACTTCTGCTCATTTCCAATTCTACATCTGTGAGTCTTCATGAATAATGACACTCTGATCTAGCTGCCTCAGGCTCCCTGCTCACTTTTTATACAGACTCCTGGGCTTGGTTAATCCCCTTCTTTCCCCTTGTCCCCAGTCTGAAAACCTCAGACCATGACAGCTCCTGTTTTTCCCAGACTCCCATCCCCATCCTCAGGTGGGATCAGAAGACATGCAATGTTCCCAGCAGTCTACTCAAGCTATCCCCTCAGGCCATGGTGTGGCACAGCGCAGTAGCAAAGCAAGTCACAAAATTCAGTTGCATAACAAGAATCAAAAGCAATGCAGGAGGGAATAAGTTTGTCCATAAAATGATTAAGGCAAGTTGCAGAGCTTGCTGGCTGCTGCCATGACTGTAGAGAGAATAGGGCAGCACTAGCAACCTTGGGGATCTGGGCTAAGGGAAGAGAGATAAGCAGAGGGAGAAGGAGCAGTGTGTGGGAGAGGATTCAGTAGCAGAATAAAATTAGAACTTTTGACTTCAATTTGCTACTAGACATTGCCAGGTTTATCTTGAATCTCCTATGGCCAGCTAGGGAATATTTGTACAGGCAGGTGAAAACACTACAAGGATGACAGGGCATGAAGTGGTGAGAGAAGCCAAAGGGGACCACACCAAGTTGTTGGACCAGGTCTGGGACTTAAGAGATGCTCAGACCTTACTCCAGTTGTTACTCACCTTGTGCTCTCTAGCACAGTCATAATCCATCACCACCAGGCTGATCTTCCAAGAAGCAACCTCTGCCTTTTGTAAATCACTCTACTGAAGTGAGTTCAAAGAGTGTATCAACCATGTCAGTCTTGACACATGAGATGAATTTGGTCATAAGACACAATTACAGATGTGCCTGCACTTCAAGCTGGTGGGATGCAAGCACTCGTGGTCCCAAAGCTCTCCAGCCTCATTAGCTTAGCATGGTGCTCTAGCTAACATGCCTGACAACATTGTATTAGCACAGTTACTTCTCTCCTACCTAGGAATGGTGCACATGGTCTTGGGTCTTCCTCTTATTGTGCTTATGCTTCTGGACTGGATCATCCTTCAGCTGCTGAAACATCATGGCAAAACCTTGGTGAAAGGATGCTTTACTCTCTGTGGACCCTCCCCTGTAGTTTCCTCCCTGAGTTTGTCTTGT